TCAATGTCATTTTACTTGCTTTGGTAATTACAGTGAAAATACTTTTTTTGCACCTTGAAAAATAAATTGACTGGCATCGCCACCCCCTTTTGTCAGGAATGCCCTCCTTGAGAAGACATTTATAGGAAGGGGCATCCCACAGTTTGAGAAATGCTGCTTAAGGCATTCAGCAGACAAACTCAGCTTGTCAGAATTTTAAAAACTCGACTGAATATCTCTTTTCTGGGGATTTTTTGGACACCCCTGAGACCACTCTAATAAGTACCAGACATTGGTTGGTCTTGACACCCTCATTGTTTACTGATTTGCCATAGAAACAGGTGACCTTTACATCATCTTCCCAAAGTCTGAAAGGGAAACATTACTTAGTTTCCTGAGTTGAAAGACATTTTATACTTCCAAATTCATGTCTTCAAAGCTTTAATGTAATACTTATTGGCTTCATTGACTAAAATTTGTTTTCACTAACATTAAAAAAAAGACATTAATTTTGTTCTTGTTACAACTTTTCTTTATCTTCATTTGTTGCTATCTTACTGTTTAGGAGCTATCCCCATGGCAACCCTTAATCTCCAACAAGGCCCACATTCCTTGTGGGGGCAGGTTCCTGATTCGTGGCACCACCAGATGGTCTATGGCGTCAGTCACCAAGGTAATAGGCTCAACTAAGAACACACACGTTTCTGTTATAAATCAATAGCAACAATAGTATCAGCTGAGTATCAGAATATCTTTACAATTTTTTGTGTTTTATATTTAAAAAAAAAAGCATTTTCCATGTGCAACTTAATGCCTTGAATTTTCAGTGTGACCACATATCTTGTGCATATACAGGGTATGGACTTAAATAACAAAGAAATGCAATAATTGTTTTTAGAAACTGGATAAACTAGTGATGCAAAAATATATGTTATAGTTGTCAATATAGATGATCTTTTCTTTCAATAATGCTTCAATTGTTTGATCTTTATTTATTATAATTTTATACTCTTTTAAACTAAGATCGACAGCTTATATCTATTGTCACTACATTGGTTCCCTAGGCTTGTATCTGACTAACCCATTGGAGATTGTCTCTGAGAGATCAGCCATGAGGCAGTTGACAAGTGATTCAGTTCTGATGGTCAGGCGACAAGATATTATCTCCAGGTTTAGAGAGACCACTGACCTGGGTCAGCTACTAAACCATCCAGACCCCAGATGGAGAACTAGGAATGTTTTAGGTCAGTCCTTGAATCTTAAATATTTAATTCTTTGTACTTGTAGATAAGTTTTCAAAGTGTTCCATTTGTCACATTTTATATAAATAGCAATTAGTTTTTCATTTTTTAAAGGAGGCGCTGTGGCTGAGCAGGGTACTGGATTCAAATTCTGGTGAAAACTGGGATTTTGAATTTTAGGATTGTGTAAAAGGGGGTTGGCCCTTGTGCTGGCTACATGATATCCTCGTTAACCGTTATAATTAAATTGTGAAGATCATTGCTGAATGATGGCAAAATTAACATATTACAACATAGCAACATTAAATTATAATAGCTGATAGTGGTGAAAAAGTGTAGAAACCTAAGTCCAGCTCTAATCAGGGCATAAACCACAGTTCTTTGACTCGCAAACTTCATGCTGTGACAAGAGACCTGGTTAACTTCTTAAAATATCTTTGAGATAAAAAAAAAATGGATCCCTTAACACTATGGAACTTAAAAATATTTTTAAAAAATCTGAATGGTTGTTAATTCTAGTGCTGCTATTTTGTTACTTGGTTATTCCAACCAAAGTCAAAACTTACGATTTTGATTCATATTTGCCCTAGGATCCCCATATTTTTGTAAAAAAAAATGAGTATTTTGTTAGTCACACATTATTCTTTTGGAATGTCTCCTATTCATCATTTATAATTATATATTCATTGACTAGTTCAATAATGTATCATTTCTCCCGTTTGTCTGTATTAAATGTTTATTGGTTCTTAACATTTAGGTCAAGTGGTGAATGTACTGAGAGAGTTCAACATGCCAAGTGTCCCTGGATATCGGCTGCAGGTGACCTCCCATGTCAGCATCCCTGCGTCTTACAAGGCAGGCATCACACTGTTCATGCGCAAAGATAAATCGGCCTGGACAGAACTCCTTAGCGCTCCAGAGATCCCGCTGGAGTAAGCAACCCCTTGCCAATGTCTGTCTGGTACAGTGCTGTTCAGTGTCTTTGTTTCTATGGATGTATGGTTGGTCATGTTTCAAGCTCACACATTTATACATTTTGTTTTACATAGATGATGTAAATAGTATTGAAAGCATTTGTGTGTGTGTGTCTGCTACATTCTAAGTTAAATACAAGTGAAAGAGAGAAATAACTCAAATAATAACTTAAATACATCTTTATAAGTATGAAATATAAGTGTACCTATCAATCTATGTATAGCACTCTGAAGTTCAATTATCAAAGTTGTATGTCCATGGTTGTGAAGTAGGAATCATCTGGAGGAGCTATTGTACATTTTTACATGTTATCAATACTTTTTGAATTCTTAAAACATTTTTTTTTCTTTGTTTTACTTCAAAAAGAATAAGAATTTGGTTTCTTACAGAATTTTTTTTTACTTTTCTAATTGCTTCAATGTGAAGGTGCTTCCAGATGATGTTGAAAAATGTTTCAACTTTCTAGTGTTGCCTTGAAGTCAGGGATAAAGTATTGGAGAACATTTTGAGTCGCAAAATATTTTGATTTCAATTAAAGTAGAACTTTAATGATTTTTTATAGGAAACCAGAACATTTCTTCTGCTCTAGAAATTGTTGTTCAGTGTCCTAATATTGATCGCAAATTTAAATAATGTTAAGAAAAAAAAATGTGTAAAACTCTATTTTCGTTTATTCATAAACAGCCATTTTTAATTAGCGTCAGCAAATTTTTGTTTATTTATAAACACGCAATCATAAAATGGTTGTAGTCAGCTAGTTAAGTATTTATCTTTTCCATGGTAACAATAAAAGATTTTTATTTTTATGAGCTTTAGTGAGAGGGAATCATTTCTGAGATAAAATAACCATCCTGAAACAGCAACTGAAATCTTTTTTTTTTAATGGTATAAAAGTAAGTTCCTCTTTCAGACCTTGCAATCTATAGGACAGATGATGTAATGGTTCAGATGATGTAATGGTTATCTGTTTCTGTGGCCCACGGTTAATGAGGATGTCATGTGGCAAGCACAACGAATAACCACCTTTTCTTTTCAAGTACACATTAGAGCTGGGTGACTCGGAGGTTCCCCTAAAGATCTAGGAATTACAAAATCCTATTGTTACCAGGATTTGAATCTGGAACCCCTTGTTCAGGAGTCAAGTGCTTTACCACTCAGCCACTGCACCTCCCTTTTTTTAATGGTATATTCAGGCATGCTTGAAAAAAATTACCTTGTCTCTAAATAAAATGTTAACATTTTTTTTTAGGTGCAGTACACATCTCTATCTAATCTTGTTGCCCATGTGTCCATCATTTACATTTGGCTCTAAGTCAATGAAATACTAGTCTACATTGGTCCAGTGTATGCACTTGTGTACCCGTATAAATAGGCTAGACCACATAAAACTTTTGTTGACTTTTTAATTCCCGTTTTGTTTGGATGTTGGCAACACTTGCTGTTAGGGTGAGCATCGTTAAAGTCAAAGTTACCTAATGACATGATAATATGTAGGAAATGCTTCCTTTTTTTGTGTTATTTATAAGAGTATGCAAGCCATTGCAAAGACAGGAAGTTAGAAGGATATCATTTTTTTATAGAGCCTTAAAATGTCAGTTGATCCAAAGTGTTATGTCACACTGCGGTTTCATTAACTATTTCTACGTATCATTATTTTGTACATTTTTTTTTGGTAATGTGCTGAAAATTGAAAAATATGAAAAAAATGAAACTTTCCCTCCACTAAAATCAGCCAAGGGCATAAACACTAACTGTGAATTTGAAACTGACTTCCTAGTGTGAAACACCAAATCAAAGTCAGAAGATTGATTCTGGCTGAGAGCTCAGGGAAGACATGATGCCCAGGACTAGTTCAGTGGTTCCTTGCTTAAACTTTTGAACTAGTAACCAAGGAGTCAGAGTAAGACGTGTCTTTCACTACACCAAAACATAAATTGAACAGAAAATTAAATTTATTTCTATTTATCTGGTTTAAAAGTTTTATAGAATGTAGCAATTAAAAATTAAAAAAATAATTTTTGTATCATGAAATTTTCATAACGTTTCTTTTGCCAGCTGATTGCAATGTTGTTATTTTTTTTGGTCTGCCTTATTCTATTCCAAGCTAGTCATTCAAGACAATGAGTGCATAGTGTCTATGAAATAGGCTAACATGTATTTTTATTATAGTATTATTTTTCTGGTGCTTTTGGAGCAGGGAGACGCTCTTAAGTAGATGTGTAGAATAGATTATTTTTACAGACAATATTTTCTTAGTATTGAAAATATTTCAGTTCTACCTTTCAAAATACTCTCATTCATTAGTCTGTGTATGTGTGCGTGCTGTTTTTTTCTTATTATTGTTGAATTTTTTCGCTGATTAAATTTAATTAAAATTTTTGTTCAGAATTTGTTTGCGGGACGTATGATTGTCTCTTGATCTGATTGACCATCTAGTTTGTTCTGGGTTTTTGTTTGGAGAAATTTAGAGGTTGAGTCCTCGAAGTACTTTTGTTTGGTTCAGTTTCAAGATATTGTTGGAATACTGCAAAATTTGGATTGTTGATTTGATTCTATTTTTATTTTACAGCAAACATCCAATCTACACACCAGCAGACTCATTTTGTAATTATTTTCTAATCATTATTTGAACTGTTCTGTCAGATCTGAAGGTCAAAGCACTCAAAACAAAAGGTACTTTTAGAACTTGGCCCTTTACTGGATTTCTCATTCATCTGTCTTTGTTTTAAAGCTTTTTTTTTTTTAAATAAAAACTACAATAAAATTTTTTTTTGTTTTATAGTTTTAAGGGGGATAATTTTATTTGGGGGGGGGGGGGGGGAGTAATCTAACATTACTGAGTTATGAACCCTGATTTTTTTTTAAAAATATTGTGATTATTTATAGTGTTTATATAGTACTTGTACCTTATATGCTAGCCTTTGTATACTGAAAAACAAATGTAAGATATCCTTTCAACCACAAGGTTCATTATTTATGTTTTAGAAACAACAAACTGGATTTATGTCACATGTGAAATTGAATATTGTGATGTATAAACCTATGCTCATTGTGCCCATTTAATGAGATTTAGTGTGTCTATAAAGTTACGAAAACACATATAAAAAATGATTATATTGTTCAAATGTGGACTGTTTAATTAGGTTTTTAGGATAGGAAGTGGATGTTGTTGGTTTTTTTCTTAAATATTATGTTGCATGGTTGGAAAGATTGCATATGGGATTCCAAGCATCATTTTGGTACAGTTTTGAAAAAGTATTTTGTTTGTTTACTTTAGAAACTGGTCTAGTAATAAAAATTATGGTGTTAGCTGTTGCCTCGGAAACGATGTGACAACCTGTATCTCCCCCTCTCACCCCCTACCCCTTCTGATCCCCTTTTCAAAAGTCACCACCTCTCCTGTCTGAGAGAAGCTCAGTTGAAACTCTTAGCTAGATTTTGTTCATGCTTTAGGAATGTCAGTGGAACCAAACATCATACCAATGTATAGCCATTTAGTGTTGGACATGTTAATTGTGTTATACATAGCAGCCTGGGAACCTGTACAGTTGTGTAGATTGTTCATAGTATGAATGTAGTGGTGAGGACTTGTGTATGAACTCCTGTTTGAATGTTCACTTTTTTTTAAACAGTAAAACCCATGGAGCAACCTGTGATGACAAAGTCTGGAGCTGCTTGCCTGACTCTGTTAACTCTGTACAGACATTTGATTATTGCATTAAAATGTGATTTAACAAAGCAAATCTCTTGACTAGTTTTACTAAACTTTTGTGTTTTAGTGTTGAATGATGCCTTAATAAAGCTTTCATATTTCATCGACTCATCACTCTCTACTTATCACTCTCTACTCCATCCCATCATTCTCTACTCCATCCCATCACTCTCTACTCCATCCCATCACTCTCTACTCCATCCCATCACTCTCTACTCCATCCCATCACTCTCTACTCCATCCCATCACTCTCTACTCCATCCCATCACTCTCTACTCCATCCCATCACTCTCTACTCCATCCCATCACTCTCTACTCCATCCCATCACTCTCTACTCCATCCCATCACTCTCTACTCCATCCCATCACTCTCTACTCCATCCCATCACTCTCTACTCCATCCCATCACTCTCTACTCCATCCCATCACTCTCTACTCCATCCCATCACTCTCTACTCCATCCCATCACTCTCTACTCCATCCCATCACTCTCTACTCCATCCCATCACTCTCTACTCCATCCCATCACTCTCTACTCCATCCCATCACTCTCTACTCCATCCCATCATTCTCTACTTCATCTCATCACTCTCTACTACACTTTCCCTTTAAAAGAAATTAGGTTAACAAAGTGGCCGAGTGAGTTGTGTTGTTCAGGAACTCATAGCATGTGCATGTTGCACATTATGGAATACACAAATGGACCTCATTCACCAATCGTAAATGAACACATTTAGCCACATCATAATATTGATAAAACAATGAAAAATACATATCAGGTGACAGCCCTTATGGATTACATAATTTGTATAGAAGATATATAGAATCACGTGACTAAATGTTGTTTTTTTTACGATTGGTGAATGAGGTCCATTCGCCTCTATCACATTCACACATAAACATCATCGACTATTTTTTCTTTTGTTTTTTTCAGCAAAAAGAATACTTTTTCTCAGCCCTTTGTCTTGTAGCACGAAGGATTATTTTTTTTTACAACAGTAACCTTTTCAATAAAGCGTCCTTCACCTAGCTCAGTTTATGTTTCTGTCCCAATCTTCTTTCATATTCTTACGTTTCTCTTTAAGTTCCATTATATCATTTTCTCTTCCCTATCTTTTGCTGTAGTTAAAAGTAAACAAAGAGCAGATTACTCTGAGTTATTTACGAAAGAAGACATGTTTTAGAATTACAGAAAAGAACAAGTTTCGTATATTTAAAAATCTTTATTGTGTAAATTATTCCATTGAACACCCTGGGCTAGAAAAAAAATTCTTTTCAAACATCATAATGTACTGAATTACATGAAATAGAATGCTGGTAAAAATAGACAAGACAAAAAATATTGAACACGAAATGAATAATGAAATGTTAATAGGAGAGAAAATAAATAAAAAAAGTGTTTAAATTCTGCCATGTGGACATTATTTGGGGTATATGGCGTGTAAATAATATATCAGAGTGGTCGCAACACATTTAGCAGACACTGAAGTCAGTACTCTAGATACATATAGGCTAAGTATGCATAATGAAGGGTTAAATGCATACAATACAGTAATGTTAAGAAATCCAGGCTCAAATTTAACAATATATGTGTTTCAGGTATTTCTTCAGAAATGAAGATTATTACACCCTAATCCAGGGGTTCTTAACCTGTGGGTCGCGACCCGTTTGGGGGTCGACTAAGACCATCGAAAATATGGATTGTTATTGTCTACTCTTCTATTGCTGTGTGTGTGTAAGGGGGAGGGGTCGCGGCAAAGTGAGGAATTGTAAAAAGGGGTCGCAGAGCTTAAAAGGTTGAGAACCGCGGGCCTAATCCAAACCTTAGGCAGGGGTGGCGGCGATATATTCTGTCAGTTTTAACCACAGCGACACGATGGTTAGCCAAGAGCTTTGATTTGTGAACGCTAGACATAGGGGCCTACATTCTAGGACAAATTTTAGAGCTAAGGGTTGAGTCTAGAGCTAATGTTTAAGGACAAAAGAATTTACGCCAATTCAATTCTCGGTCGAGTCAGCGGTTCTCACACTTCAATATCGTAGGTTCTAGTGATGTTTTGTGCCGTCGTTCAGTTGTCTCCCCTAATTTCTAAGTAACTCAAAAACTGACTGATGGGAAATCAAAGGCTCCACCTGTTTTGATGACGCTATTAGAAAAATATGCAAATAACATTGTGCAAAACATTGACCTACACACACACATACACATTTATATGACGTCACATTGAAGACATACATTTCGACAACTTGGGAAACCCAAATTGTATTTGATATTTAGACCCCTCATACCCCACTGGGCTGGTCGTGGATGAGTGCAGTGGCGTAGCTAGGAATTTCCCATTATTTGGGGGCTTGATCTCCTTGGGTTCCCTTCATTTTGCGTAATATTTAATGTAAAAAATACTCATTTTGGGGCCCCGAGGGATTTTCAAATTCTCCCCTTCCTCCTCCTACCCATCTACGCCTCTGGATGAGTAAGTATATTTGCAGGTGTGCGTGACAATAAAATTGGAATGAGTATAAAATACAGTATCAATTACTTTTTGTAAAAGTCAAATTAAACCTCAAACAGGCTTCATGATATTCCAAGCTCTTACTAATCCATCATTTCATATGGTACATGCCGAAGGAGGTCGTCAATACCCAGAATCACCATCCATCCAATCCAATTCATTACTTTAACAGCAAGTATCCAGACTTCAGAAGCAAAGGTCTCAGCCATTCCATCAGGACGTCAGTGGATGACGTTGGGGAGGGTTCGAAGCACATACCCACAAGACCAGGAAAACATTATAGATACAATAATGTGAACACAATTAGCAACTCTACACAATCTACAGACTCTTCCGCAAACATGAACTTGGTAAGTAAATGCAACTAGTGTTATATACGAAAAATGGAGGACATAATACATATGTTACTGGAGAAGTAAGAAATACGGGCAGTAACATATAAATAGTAAAATAAAAACATATTTGCCTGGATATACATATATAATTATACACATTCGTTTCTAGCATAAATAGAACAGATATATTTAAAAAATCCAAGTAAAACATAATTAAAAGGTAACATTGAATTCATCAGTTCTTTACATCGCAAGTGAATAATATGATCCGAAACATTGACAATTTGATCGTATAATCTTAATACTCAACTAGCAACTTAAATCCTGACAACCTAGTAGATCCTTAAAGTAGACATATAATAGATATATATATATATGTATTTTACAGTGCGTTTTCATTAGAGTATAAATTAAAGATGTCATATACTCATATGCCTTTAAGGAAAATAAATTAACATCATTTGAATATTTATTAACAATAAACTACTTGGGCCCCTCTTCTCCTATGCCAATGTAAAAAAGGGATAAAAAAATATAACTTGTTTCCATCATAAATTTACAGCCCAAGGGAAAATAGTAAAAAAAAAAAATATCTACGAGAAAGAAATCCACGCTTACAACTTACAAATAAAAAAAATTAATTACCAAAAATTAATTGACTAATTGGTTAATTTTTTAATTGTTTCATGTTTTGGTAGGTAAAATAAATAATTATTTAAAGTTTCTACTAGATCCGATAATAGGTGTGAGAGAAATAACGTGTACAATTATCCAAGGGGACAAAACCCTACATATTTAGCAATATATGTGAGTGCTGAAGGATTTATTTCACTTGTTGGCATAAAAAAATAATTTATTACCAGTAATTAGTTGACTAATTGGTTACTTTAAAAAAAAAGATTCATGTACTGTCTTCGCCATGAATAATTGTGAAAAGTTTCAACTTGATCCGAGAATGGGTGAGGTAGAAATTGAGTGTTCAAACTTTTTACCAGACAGAGTGAGTTGATCTAAGCTTTGTAAAAATAACTATTCAATTCAATCCCAATACGTACCGACTAAGACTTAAACCTCCAAAAAGATTGGCAATCAGCAACGTCCACAGCCTCTTCCTTAAATTAGCAACTAAAAAACTTAACTATCATTATCTATTAAAAAAAAAATTAGTTTATGTAAATGCCCAAGGTCAACATTGAAAGTGCAGCAATATGTATGAATTATATAAGCAATATGTACAGTATTGCATCGCTACAGATCGTGATCCAATTAAACATGTATGCAGTAGAAATGAATGCATTAAGGCTAACACCTTTAATACAAGTTTATAAAACCACACAAAAACAATACAAACCTAAGAACAATAACTTGACTTGCTTAAAAAAAATATACATGGGAAATAATCTTAGTGTCTTCAATCAGTAAGTCACATTTAAACACTGATGTAACAAAACTGGAAGATTGCACTAATGAATGATGCAACAAATGAGTAGAGAAGACTATTGTAGTTTATCTTACATTGAGAGGTAAGTATCGTAGAACAAGGAATTTAAATTAGAAACCTACAATCTACAGGCTCTTCATAAAATACAAGTTTTATATGTAATATAGTGTAACCACAAAAATGGTGTAATACATAGCACATGACCATGCAGTCTTTACTCTTATGCATACATTACAATTATCCTCCAAAGTAAGTGGGAGGAGATAGCTCAAGACCGGACAGCATGGAGACAGACTGTATGTGCTGGTATGAACTTCGCCGAGAGAAATAAACGAAGCTGCATCAGGCAAGAGAAAGAAAGCTACCCAGTCAGCTAGCCCTTGGACAGATGCATATACATGCACGAACTGTGACAAACTCTGCCGCTCCAGAATTAGCTTGATCAGTCACTCCAGATTCTGCCCCGTCTCAAGACGAAACCAAAGCCAGTGACTCATCTTGGCGCATCCATTATCATCCGAGACAGAATGAGCCATATAGATATATAGGTATAAACAGACACTTCTAAGTAAACAATTGGACGACAAGGCTATCACGAATCAAGATTTTAAAAGAGTGGCTTTCTTATTCAGCATCACTACTGGTTTGAATACTTGAAAGAGAACGACATACAATTGTTGCACTTCTGACACCAAATTTTCACACTGTGTCCAAGTTGTAGTTTTGTATTCCCATAGGAAAT